TTCTTGGAGGAGAAGAGGCCGGCCTTGCAGTCGCCCGAGGCCCAGTCGCCTTGCTTGGGGCAGGCGCTGCCGTTGCCGCCGCAGATGGCGCCTTCAATGCAGTAGGTGGCGTCGCCCTCGACGGAGACGTTGGTGCAGGCCGTGGCGTAGGCGGCAGTGGCGAGGATGATGGCGAGCTTCATGGTCGAGTCGGAGGAAATTGCAGAATGAGTCAAGATCGCCCTGCATGCCTTCTAAATTCATTAAATTGCCACGTGCTTTGCAAAACAGGTGGCATTATTGGATTGTTTTGAGCCCGCAGATATACATTTTTCAGTCTAGTGTTGTGGTTGTAGCCGCCGGACCAGTTGGATACTCTACCTGCCATGTGCAGCTGCTCTGGCCAGTGGCACCTTAGATTTATCCTAGGAGCTGCGCTTGGTGGTGGAGGCGCACTGTAAAAGCTCATGCAGCGGTGCCGAGGGCTCGCAGGACGCAGTTAGAAATCTGGTCTTATCCAGTCGTACTGGTAACGTTAGCGCCACTTGCGTACGCTTTCACGACCAGACACAAGACACTTCGACTGACACGAGCTGGATCGGGTGCTTGAAGTACCCTTTTTGAAGCCAGCCAATCAGAGGCGTCCAAACTATTTGAAGAAAATCCAACCGAATCTATCCGTCCGTCGAGCGTCCATACGACGCGGTAAGCTGACGCCGGTGACTGCGGCACAAAAGACATATAAGATCTTAGGCCAGAAGGAGCGAAGTTAGCGTAAAGAGAAATGCGTCCAACGTATCAAACTAGCTTCAATCTAACCAGCGTGGTTCATGGACAAAGTGCAATGTGAGCCTTCCATGCTGCAGGCACTTTGCACTTGCCACGACCACAATCCGGCGACGCAACCCCCCGCACTTTTTACACGCAGCCAGCAGCCAATTGGCGTGCACCAAGTAAGGACCATCTGCCATCGACGATGAGAATCCACTTTGCAGCTCACTTTGCGCATACGTCCCATGCACAACCTCCACATACAATGCTCCAGTAAGTAGTACATACCATGCAAATTCACAACACGACAGTTCGGTCAATGCGCCATCTTGGACTCATTCTGCAATTTCCTCCGCCTCGACCATGAAGCTCGCCATCATCCTCGCCACTGCCGCCTACGCCACGGCCTGCACCAACGTCTCCGTCGAGGGCGACGCCACCTACTGCATTGAAGGCGCCATCTGCGGCGGCAACGGCAGCGCCTGCCCCAAGCAAGGCGACTGGGCCTCGGGCGACTGCAAGGCCGGCCTCTTCTCCTCCAAGAACGGCTGGTGCCAGGCCCCCGAGTCGGCCGTCTGCTTGACGCTCAAGACGGGCGCTCGCGGCTGTGTGTACCCGTCGAAGGGGC